TTCGCGCTTGGTGATGTGAGAGCCTGGTCCGGTGAGAACCCGGCGTGCTCCGTCCCGGCTTTGTAGGGATGCGAGGTCAATGGTCTAACGACTACGGCATGCACGACTAAGAGTACACCCCCCCACCTCCCCCTCTCACCGTTAAAATCACTGGCTTTGGTTGCATTATTCGTTGATCCGCGCCCCCCGCCCCTCTCCCTTACGACAACTGGCGAGCAGATCGTCTCGATCCGAGCTGAGGCAGAGTCTATCGAAGTGGAGCCGGAGGCATTGACCGCCCTCGGGAAGATTGGTGCCAAGACCTCTCTGCGGTAGGTTCGCGCCAAAGATTCGGGCCTTAATTTTCTCCGGCAGCGGTAGGGGGTTGGATGGTTCGCGTTTTGAGGAGCGGGTTTTGTTTCTGTTTGGAGGTGGGAGGTGTATCCGATCCATCTGTGTTACCTTGTCCGAAGTACTCGGCTGAACGCTAACGAGCTTGACAAAAACGATGGGCGGTCTGAGGGGAAAACTTCTGGTACCTGCCCCGGCTCTTGACTCTCGCGCGTGTCCTGAACGGGTGGACATAGGTTCTGTTTTTGAGTTGCGTTCGTCCTATCTCTCCCCGCGCTTCTTTTTTTTGTGAATATGCAAATGATCACCGAAAGAATGCCGTTCGAGACAATCCCTGGTCGAAGGGGATGTATTGAAGTTGTTTTCAGGGCGCGTTCTACCAGTTTGTGTTCCGTCCGTGTGAGACACGAAGATTTCCCTACGACATCTAAGGCGAAGATAAATACACGGGTCCTTTTATTTATTTTTTTGGGACAGGATAATAAATATGATACTCATTTATCTATTACTTCGAAGTGTTCTACTTGGGCATAGCGTATAGGCGTAAAAGTATTGGAAGGGTGTCACAAGCAAAGCAAGGCCACAAATTGCGACCGTTCAACATATATAGAGACGCTTGAGAATCGGTCGTGAGATGAAATGATTCCAGGCGAACCCCCTCGCCGCTTCCCTTCTTCTCTTGCACTCATACCCCCTTGCCTCCACGTTCGGGTATTGTTGGCCTTGATTGCTCAGGTACGCCGTCCAGATGCTTACGCCAGCACGCATTCTCGCCGAAACGAGCGGCAGGAAAAAGGTGAAAAAGAGAAGCAGCCGTTTTTTGCCGGGGGGGTTGTGAAGGGGGGTGCGGAAGAGGTGCATTGCCGACTGTTGGCGGGATTGAGGCGCGGCGAGCACGTGACACGCAGTCAGACGCTTAGCAACGTTTATGAACCAACCCGATATTGTTTCAGGGTGAGAGCTTACTACAGTACCAGCCACTGGATGAGAATTGTGTATAGTTGCCGGCTGAAAGGTAAAGGCAACCGTTGAGAGGTGTAGTCAACGGATGAGATATTCTCAGACTCTCCCCACGGATGAGGTCCCGCTGTTACACGCAAGAGCTGTAGCAGTCCGTGCCACGACGAGCCACCTTTTTTTTTCTCGAAACTTTCGAAGGAAGAACCTGCCGTTAGTTATTCCATGCGTGCGGCGCTACCATTTGCTCAGCTTTGTTTCGAAATCCCGACGTGCGTGGGAACTTGGTGCAGGAACTTGGTCGATCGGATCCTCCCTCTCATGATAACGCATGTGCCAAGCAAGCACTTCGTCGCCCAACCACACAAACGTCTTGAGAAGAGATTGTCATTTTTTTTTCTTTTTCTCCCACCATTGGACTCTGTCGTCTGCCCCTCTGGCCCCTATCCTCTACTTCTACCAGCTAGACGACCCAACTGGGGTCACATAGGAGGGGGGGGTTGGACCCCCTCCTGCGTTTCTTGCCTGAGATATTTTTATGTGTGCCAGGCTAACTCTTGCGTCGCCGAACCCAACAAATACCTTCAGAGAATATGTTAGTTGTGTGCCAAGCAAACTCTTCACGTCACCCAACCAAACAAAAGCCTTCAGAGAAGACGGTTAACGTATGCCAAGCGAACTCGCCCAACCAAACAAGCGTCTTCAGAAAAGAATAGGGAACCCTTTGTGTCGGTTAATTTCGGCTTTTCCTCTAACACCGGCCCATGCACGTTACCTCTCAGATTAATATCGGGGACGTGGAGGAGGTGGACGGGCTCTTCCATGACGCCAAGGCGTCCGCGCAGCTGCTCACTGACGACGCAGAGGGGTACCTTCACTAGCGTTATTTTCCAAACCGACCATATGGGTGTCACGGTTGCTTCCGGCGTCGGCAATGATGGATGGCGTGCGTAGATGGCGCAGAGAGGTACCTCGACTAGGTTCATTTTCTAAACCATGTAGAAGTATGTCATTTTTGGGCGCCTGGGTGGCTTCCGGCGTCGGCAATGGTGGATGGCGTGCATACATGACGCAGAGGGATACCTCCACTTGCGTTTATTTCTTACACCAATACTGTGGTTGGGTGCATCAGGATTCTTGCTTGGGGTGCAGTCAATGATGGATAGCGTACACAGGTGACGGGCTACTTTTTTTCGGCGTTGTTCTGAGATAGCAGCATTCAAACGCGGAGAGATTTGTGTGTTTCAAAATTCGCACAAACACAGAATGGTGGGCGGGGGAATCCCCTGGTCGGCAGACCCCGATTCTTGATCGGCAGTCGGGAGCCCTGTTTTGTGCCGGTGCCCGCTCTAGGGCCGGCAAGCACAGAGTGAATCATCACCAAGTAATTCTGCACTTTGAACAGTGCCGTTGTGTGGTATATATATGTAGTGCTGCCAGTTCTCCGGGCAAAATCCGGTCCTAAACAGCCCCCCCCCCCACGGTAAGGAAAGGCTGGTGCCGATAAGGAGTGCTCGCCACTTTGGCGCAAGCACCGGTTGGTGGGTGACCGAGTGTGGGGTGGGGGTATGGTCTGCCTGTGGCTCGACAAGGAGAGTAATCATGGCCTTGTCCATGTAGTGCTCTCCCGCGCCCATGGGTGTGAACTACCAACCCCCGTTTCGAGTGTTTTGGGGCTCCCGCAGCCTGTGCACGCGCGTGGTGTGGCTACAAGTGCTCTTCACCGATTTCGCGGCGACATCAGTTGATTACAACTATTCTTGCACAGTAGCGATCCCTACGAAAACCCCCGTTGTATTGCCAAGGAATTTCGCCGGCCTTGTACCGGGCGCCCGGAAGCACTTTTACGGTAAAGAGATAACTTGAAAATGAACATTCCATCTGTGCCCGCGATTTCGCCGGCCTTATTCAGGACGACTGACCTCAATCTGCGGATTAGCACGGGGACCTATCACTGAAACGTCTGTCCCCAGCTCAGCACCACTGACGTATCTACGATGCCTGCCTCTGTGTAGACCCTGAATGCGGTGTCTCGGAGGAAACGCCGCCAAATAAGGGAGCACGCAAAGTGTTCGAACAATGCGTATGGGAGGGCTTTCAATGCGTTGCTGCTCGGCTTTGTGGCGGCTTCGTTTTATCACCTCTTTGCTGCTTCTTGGTGGGATACAAGAGCTCATCCGACTCTGCTCTGTGCCACAGAAAATATGATACCAAACAATGTCGCGCCTCGTAAGAAGTATCCGAACCGCCAGGGATGGACGCGACTCGAAATCTGCGAAAGCTTGTTGCATGTTGCTGCCGTCGGCATTTGATGACATGGGCCGTTCCCTTGTACCCAGCAGATTGGGAACATTTCTCGCAAGTAAGCTCGGAGGACAATGCACAACCTCATCAAACTGAGGACAATTAATGTGCACCCTCAAGCTCAGATCGGTACAATGTACGGGCAGCTGAAGGTACTGGATAGACATCGGCACAGTAAGGTGAAGGCAACAACCTTCAACAAATTTCGGGAGCAACTCATTTTTGGAGAGGAAGGAGCAGACTCACGAAAAAAAACATTGTACGACAGAATTAAACAGACTACAGTCGGACCTGCAACGACAAAAACCGAACACTTCATTTTACCCTGTGACCTTCTAAACCCTTTTCCCACCAGCGCCCCTTAACAAAAAAAAAAACTGCAGCTGGATCGCGACCTCCCTTCCTAAAAGTAGTAACAGGCCATCGCACCGCGCTCTCGACGCAGTCTCATCTACCCTTCCGCACTACTGCACATTACTCGCCTCTGCTCTGTGTGCCTTGGCTGCGTACTGGCTCTGTGAGCTGAGGCCTACTCTCCAGGCGGAAAATCAGCACCGTGCACATCTGTTCGAGGAACCCTCTGGACTTCTCTCGCAGCGACCGCAACAATCAAATACTCCGCATTCATAATCGCATGGGTGAATGAGCCCGTCAGCTAGCAGACCCCCAAGACCAAAATCACGGGGTCACCCCTCACCTATTACCCACGGCGAACCTACATATCACGGTGCCCCCTTTCTCCCGCGAACTTGAATCGCGCGGGGCCCGTTAGCTAGCAGACAACCACACGGGGTCCCTATCAACTATGCCCCACTGTAAACCTACATACCGCTGTGCCCCCGCCTTTCCTCTCGGAGTTCACGGGTGCCCGATGCCCCACGGCAGTTCTACATACCGCTGTGTTTGTGGGGAGCCCGGGTTCTGAATATTTGGCAGGTTATTTGGCAGGAGAGGGATCCGTGAGCTTGTGGACGTTCCAACACATCATCGTCCCGTCTTCTCCGGCCGACAAAAAGTAGCTGTCGTCGATGGAAGGGTTGTTGAAGGGCAGGAGGGCGAGCACGGGTTTTCTGTGGTAGAGGCAGTCGTCGCGTGGCCAAAAACAAAGGTGCAGGACGCGCAGGGGGGCGGTGTTGAGTCCGTACGCCGAAGGAAGCACATACATACCACGAACCCGAAACAAACAGATGAGAGAAACAAGACGAAACACCGACATCAGGAGGAAGAAGGGCGGCGCGCACAGTGTCTCAACAACGCTAGTATACCAACGCTACCATAAACAGCAAACCCCCCCTCCGAACAGAAGCACCCAAATCCATGCCCCGAATTCCAACAACAACGACAACAGCTCCTCACGAGTGTCCGACGTAGAGGGAGGTAGGGTGTATCTCGAAGGCGAGCGCGAACTCGGGGAAATTTCGGACCGCGATCGTCCCGTCCTGCGGGCAAGACGACGCCGGCCGAGCCCGTGGCAAGGGGGTGGGGGGTACTCACGTGAACGCATGCCGTACACGTAGACCATTAACCTCGCCCAGGCGACGTTTCGGGGCGGGTATTGCGAGCGGTTATGAATTCTCTTGGTTAAGACTACCCATACACTATGGGTACCGTTCACAACTAGCAGTCAGTTGAGTATAGCACTCCCAAAAAGCATTATCCGCCTACGTAGCTGGTGGCCAGAGAGAACTCCAACCGGCCAGAGATATACTGTATTCAGCAGCATATCCCACAACCCCACACACACACTCACAGCCCGACCCTAGGCCACTGCTGTCCGTCGTTCCTCTCTTACAGGCCAATCCGAGCAACTACATTGTAATTCATAACCCGTTCCTCTCGGTCCCACCTAACCACCTCCCATACCGCGTAGGCTGGATGGACAGCGCAACGTGTAGGATACCTCCCTTCTAGCGGATGTCAAGCCTCTACTACTCCACCACGAAGATGATACCGACAATGAAACGAGACAGCGTCGGAAAGTTCTCGGAAAGTTCTCGGAAAGCCCACGAACGAGACTGTTTCCAAAGACGCCGTTTTCGGCAACATCCATCGTCGCTGCCCTTTTCGTAACTTCTTTTGTCTGGGCTGCGGAGCAATCGAGCTTTGAAGAAACAGGCCGTGCTCAAAATGGGTGCAGCCCATGGTAACGCACCAGGTACGAGATATATCTTGTGGGAGTACACTTCTGGTTCGGTAGGTGAAGATGCCGCTGAAAAAATCACGGGGTCCCAGTTAATGGCATTTAGAAGCGTGTCGTATTTTCAACCACACTGAGACTGACGTCTTTTCATTGGTCAGCCGTTTAGCGCGGTCGACGCTAACAACCCACATACACACACACACACACCTCGTAGCCCACGAGCAGGAGGGCGCTCGTGCCCGGAGTGGGGTCGAACGCCGCGATGGCGGAGACTCCGGTCCCACACTTGTGCTTGTAGGTCAAGCCCCCGTCCGCCGCCTGGAACACGCCCATCGTCCCGTCCTTGCTCCCGCTGATAACGTACTCCGCCAAGGTGCCCTCGGCCGCGCTCTGCCCGATCGCCAGAGCGGCAACCGGGCCTTCGTGACCCCCGTTATCCTCTGGGAGGTTCATGGGTGGGAGGGGGTCGGCGGGTGGGGGGGGAGCAAGCGGTAAGGGTGGGAACCGGAGGGCCGGCAAAAAAAAAAAGTGTGTGACAAGTGGGGGGGGGGGAGGTAGCCATGATCAGCGTTTAACTGGATCTTTCTCGTTACAAGAAAAGAATGTCAAGGGCATGTGGCTACTGTACACGAGTGCGAAATCCAAATATGGCAACTGGGTTGGAGCAAACGGCACAAACTAAATACTTGTGAGCACTGATTTGAAGTGAAGAAAAAACACCCGAAAGTACGCAGCCCTTCTCACTCCACCTCTTGTCAGGTACCAATCGTTCTCCCGGCTTGTGCATTACCAAGTGCACACGCCGACACCCTCAATTTCCCAGCGTGTGTACATGTGCAGTCTTGCTTGAGTAGACCGCTCTAATGGTGTCTCGATGATCGCTTGGTTTAATGCGTGCAAATAGCGTTTGCACCGCCGACTTAATCATCGCTCAACGCTCCCTTTCTCCCTTGTACATCAAAAAACATTTCCTTCACAAACACGCACCACATTTCATCTTCATCATGGATTCATTCCTCCCCCCTCCGCGTACATCGAACCCTCCCCGCTGCTGCCGTGTTTGCCATCGGGATTGGGTTTTTGTCGCTTGGCAACGACGTCGTAGAACAAGCCGCACCCCCCGGTGTTTGCCATCGGGATTGGGTTTCCGTCGCTTGGCAACGACGTTGTAAAACAAGTCAAGTCACTTCGT